GGAGACGCGGCTTGTGGGCCCTGGTTGTGGTGTTTTGTTTGTTTGGTCTGGTGTTGGGTTTCTCTGTTCTTTTCTCCACCATCAGACTGTTCTTCCCTCCCTTCAATGATGACTTGGGCACCATGCCCACACGGCGTCCGTACTCGTGGAAAAAAACAGTTGAATGGGTTGCGCCACAAGAAAGGTTTTTTCGACGGCATGAAGCACAGCAACCACTGATCCTTTTGACATGGATACAAGCGGCGTAGGAATAGCTATGCTCCTGACCTGCATTGTGACCAGGTTTTTGCCACACTGTGCAGTGGCCGCTGGTTACTGGTAATTGGGAAGTTAAGTCCATTTGAAGACTTTTTGGAAACTTTGCTACAGCATAAACACACGCTGCCATGCTCTTCGTTCGAGAATTCAGGCCCATTGATGGAGCATAGTCTTCGTTTCACCTGTTTCACCTCAGCACAGAGGAAAGACTACAAGATGGTGGAGACTCGGCCGGTGGGCTCTGTTTTGCGAAGGAGCATGTGAAAGACACCTGGTATCATGTGGCATGTACCAGGTAGTGGGGGCTCGTAGCCCAATGGGAGCTTTGAGTAAGAGCGTGCGATGGGCTCTTTGTCCATCAGCTACTCCACCAGGGCTCTGTTTGGGATCACCAAGCAGCAATCGAAAGAAGGGTTGTCGGGGGACTGTCGGCGCGAAGGCAGATTTGAGGTCCATATCCTGCTGTGCCTCCTCACTGATGAGCAGGTCCACATTCTCCATATTTTTATGAATATCTCTGGGCCACAGGTTGAGAGTAAGTAAAACATTTTTTTTTCATTTGGTTTGCATTTTGGTTATCATTTTTTTATCGTCCGGGTTCTCATTATTTTTTCATCATCCAAAACCATTTTCATTTTTTTTGCATTGTTGCTGCTGGCTGTGAGCCATGAACCTGGCTGCCTCTACTCATCAGAAAGGTCCAAACCAAGACGTCAGAGCATTTCCAAACCATCGGCACCATCCATTACCATTTGGTGTTACTGTTGCAGTGTGTCATGTGAGTTTTACTCTCGAAATACTTCATTTCATAGTAACTGTACTGTACTCAGTTTCTTTTTAGGGCAATATCAACAACTCCTTACAACACGACACAGTACAATGTACAAACACAGTACAAACTACTTCCTTACTACCAGTACAAACCCTCACAGCGCAGAGTCCCAAGCAATGGGAGAAGAGTGGAGTGATTTGTATGTGGAGGAGGTGAAGCAGCATGGGTGGGAGTTGGCATATGATGAAGAACTGAAACTCAGTCAGGAAGAAAGGGAAGAGATGGCAGAAGTTTGCCAACTCTCAATGGAATCTGAATCAGATTCAGAGACCTCAACAACAAAGATGCCGTCGTGGTGGACCAGATGGTTGCTCCAGGCTGTACAGGATTCGGGAATGACATGGCCTGTCTTGGATGAACCAATTCTGGTGGCGTCATGCTGCACTGGTTGCTCATCAGAGTCGGCTGTGCTCAAGGCCATGGCCAGCGTTTACTGATGTTTTTTGGGTAGAAGGGATAACCGTGATGGATGTGTTGTATATCAGATCTGAAAGGTCACTGTCTATATTGCGTTTCGGAACATTTTTGCAAACAGTTGCATATCATATGTCCATGTATGTATATCGGAATTTCAATTCCACTCAAGAGGGTTTCATTCATTGTTTTGACTAAACCAGTGTCCGGTGTTGGCATAACTAACTAACTTACTTACCTGGGGTCCATGATTTCAGCTTTTCACATGTAAGCAGTACTAAGCAGTAGTAACTGGTAGTACCCAGTAGGCTCAGTAGAATCTAAATAGAGAATGGAAAGACTCAGACTCCAAATGAAAACCAGTAGCCTTGATGTTGCAAGCTGTTGTAAAAACCATTAATTCCATCTACAATGAATGCTGTGCAGGCTTTGCGGATGCCGTTTGAAATGGTGTCAGCATCTGAGATGAATCCCAAGTACCGTGAGCTATGCTTGGAGAATTTCAGTGAACATTTCAACCACTTCTACCCTACAGTGGAAGAACAGGTCAAATGCAATACTGTTGGCCTGCTGTGTAAAGATAGCGTGAGCAGTTTGCTTGGACCATGCAAGCCACATGAGAGCCAAATTGATCTCCTTTTCAGCGGTTCGCCTTGCAACCCATTTTCGGCACAGCGTGCAAAACGCTATACTGAGGGAGATGTGAAATCTCATCAGGAATTTTCAGTGACAATGCAGGACGTTGTAGCAAGCTACCAGTTGTACGAGCCCCGCATTGGGGTATTTGAGCAAGTGATGGGCTTTACCCAGCCCTTCTCTGCAGATGATCCCACCACACCAAAGGATTTGTTTCTTGACTAATTTCAGATTAGTTTCATGTCATTTTTCCAGGTGTGCACACACACACGTACTGGTATACTCGAGTATGTATGTTAAAATGAATAACAATATACATGCACGTTTCTTGATGCCTTGAGCTCTAAATTGCATGAAATTGTAAACTTGTAAATTTTAACTTTAACTGTATCAGTTTTCTACATGGCAATGGTCCATGGTAGTTGGTAGTGATAGGTAGAACCGGATAGAGTCTAGTAAGTAGAGCCTAGCGGCCTAGCAGCTTAGCAGGTGGTAGCAGCATCCTATCCCATGCAAGGTTCTTGGAGATAATGTCCAAGAAGACTTGGAAGCATGGTGGCTACTGGGTGGCTGTCTTGCAGCTGAGCGGTGAAATCTTTGCCAAAATCCTACGTTCCAGGCTTGTGGGGATGCCAGGGATGTGGGGATGCCAGGGACGTTTCAGTGTCTGATACAGGGTCCGGGTAAGGTTTTGACCATAACTGGTGACTAGTGACTAGTGACTAGGGCCTAGGGCGACTAGGGACTATGACCATTGACCATTGGAGTCATTGGAGATTGGAGTGCTGAGATTGTCTCAGAAGCAATGGTGCTCAAGTTTACAATAGTAACTATTCACACACACAGATTATCTGAGTATCTAAAATCAACCAACCAACTGACTGAAGTTACTAGTACTAACAGGTTAACTAACAGCTATATAGCTACTGTAACAGTTAAGAGCTAACAACCAACACAGGCTAAAGTAAAAGCTAGCAGCCAGCAGCTAGCAGAACAGTGAACAGCTAGCTAGCAGCAGGCAGCAGGCAGGAGGCAGCAGGTAACAGTTCCCGGTAACATAACAGTTTGGAGGATTACTATGACTAAGACTGAGAAAGTGACTAAGTCTACAGTCTACATAGTCTAGTCTAGTCTAAGTCTAGTCTGATTCTGATTCTAAGTACCCAACCATTGTCCATTCACTTGGGCCATGGGTGATCTGACTCTAGCAGACGCTGAAGTGGAGGTGGATGAGAATCCATGTGCAGTGTCTGTGCCAAAGAAAAGGGAAAAACGTGGACGGGGACGTCCTGCTGGAACATTCGGCAGCAAGGATTGGAAAGAGTATTGCCAAGAGCAGGATAGAGAGAGACTTGCTCAGCTACCAAAGCCTGGGGATATTGCATATGCCCGGGCATGTCGCGCTGAGAAAGTGCAAGAACGTCACAAACAAAAAGAAGCATTCGCAGTCGCAGCGGATCAAATGAAGTTGAAGATAGCTGTGACCCCAGAGAGCACGCAGGCCTTGGAGGAATACTTTCCACCTGAAGTCGTGTCTATCTCTTCCAAGAAACCTTTGCATTTGGATCTACAGACTGCTCTCCTGAAATCTGTGCAGAAAGGGGTGGAACCTGACGACCAATTGACAGAAAAGCACCTTACTGGAGCAATGATGACTATGAGCGCCAAAGCTTTGGAGTCTTGCACCGCAGAGAACAATGTCGGGAGACGTATTCTCTCCATCTCTTCAGCAATTTTTGAATGGATTGCATTGATGTGGAGTTGCTTGTTGTCATTCTTTGTATCATCTGATAGTGGGATGCGCCCAGTGCTCTCCATGCCGAGACTCAGATATGATGAGACACCCACAAAGGTCAAGGTGCTTGACCACCAGGATGATGTGTCTGCGCTGCTGGATGATTCAACTTTGACCATTGAGCAGCTATGCAGTCTCAATGTTTTGCAATCAGAAGCTAGCACATCTGCTGCGAAGATATTACAAATCGAATTGGGTATTGGATCTTTGCTCTTTGACCCAAAGCGGGACAAGTACTTTTGGATCTATGGGCAGCTTCCCACTTGTTTGTATGGTCTTCAATCCACAACAGGAAGCAACACGTTCTTGGCTTTGAAGGATTGTGTGGATGCTGTTCCATCATACCGAGAAACCAGCATGAAGTATGCCTTCAATTTGAGACACACTTGCAGTGACAGATACCTAGCCAACAATGTTGCAGAGCGTCATATGAACGGATACTTTCCTGATGCAACACTGATCCACTTGCACTGTGATGTCCACCGCTTATACCAGTGCACTCGTGCTGCAATGGACATGGCAGAGAAAGACATTTCAGGGTGCATAGCATTCGCTTTGGCTTTTGGTGACCCTGGTGTGGTCCCACGCATGAGACAGGTGATGTCAAAAATCCTTCTTCGTAAGCTGGAGGTGGTTTTTGAACCACCACCTTCAGATTGGATTGATGACTACAAACAGTATCAAGCAGAGGTCTTCGACACGTTCCTGCCGATTTACAATGTGGTACCTGCTCGTGCCAAGTTGAATCGCAAGAGGAGATTCATCCTTGGCCATTTCCTGAACGGAGCTATGTGGTGCCCTGAGGTCACTCACCATTGTCCATATGGATGCTGCAGTTCTGAATTATCCACTTTGAAAGGTGTCTCAATCTTCGTGTCCTGGGCATTGATACCAACACGATGCCCAATGTTTCCGAGGAGCAGGTGGACAAATGCAGATATTGCAATAGACTTCGTTGGCCTTTTGGCATCTGTTCACTCACTGCTTGAGCCCTTTGCGCTAGAGATGACTGGTGGTCCTGATAAGGAGCATGGTGAGCAACAAACCAAAACCAAATCTGATGAAAGCAGCAACCTTTACGATTTGTTGGACTCAAAGGCTGCAATCGAGTGTGAGGATGAGTGGAATGCACTTCTTTTGGAAGAGACTGGATTGGCTGCAGAGCATCAAGCAACACAAACGACTGGGGTGGCTGCAGGCGATGCCAAGAAGGTCAACACTGAGCCTGGGTCATCGGAGAAGTTCATGGCAGCTGACACAACCACAAATGATTCAGGTGAAGCCGAAGCAAAAGCAGACTCAGAAAGCAAGCTTCCATTTGCATTTGGAGAAGACGCAGGGAGTGCGCCTGTAATGTCAGGGGGAGAGCGAGATTGGGCAGCAGAAAAAAAACAAAACAAAAAAAAGGCAAGGGCGTGGGCAAAAAGCAAACCATTGGCCAGACTTGTTGTACTGAAGGAAACATTGGCTCTACTGATGAGCTTGATGTACACCTTTCTTTCCTACACCGGACAAATTTTTGAGGAGAGGCAGAGATACAGGGAGATGCAGGGAAAGCAAAGGCTCTATCGGGTTCTGCAAGCATATGTTGGCAGTGACACTCAGGATACCATCAACAAACTTAGTTCACAGTTTTTCAAGCCTGTTGCAGCACTTGTGGTAGATGACTACACACCGCAAATTCTGGCTATGCGGTTTCGAATGGTTGCTCGAGCACTTTGCAACTTGCATTGCCTTATTCGACTTCCACGTTCTGGATTTCCTTTCAAGCTATTTTTGGCAATGAAAGGGCGTCGTATGGACATCGATGCTGTGTTGGCATCCAAGCCGTGCTCTCATGATGCATTGGCACACCTCTTCCTCCAGAGATATGACCCTTGGATGCTGATTCATGGGAGTGTATGGCAAGATGTGGATTAAGGTGTGGCTCAGGCTAAGGCTAAGGCTGTTCCTAAGGCCTAAGGTATTCAGGATGTACAGTATCAGTATCAGGTCATTATTACTATACTATACTATACTATACTCAGTATACTAAAATAGCTAACAAAAGACTAACTATAGTAGTTTTGTAACTATTGTAATCAACTATTGGATGAAATAATTAGATTTTATGTTATTATTATTGTATCATTGTATCACACAATGCATACTAAGGACACAACCTATTTATATTCAATGTTGAAAAAACAGTCAGATCACTATGAACGATATTATCAACTATGACTAAGACTTAGACCATGACTATGACTATGACATTGACATCGTTTTAGTATAACAGTTCAATTACAATGTATATGCATTAATAAATTAGTTTTGTTTTGTATTTAACACTGAGTACTGTTACTATACTATACTATATATAGTATACTGTACTATACTATACTATACTAATACTAGTATACTGTTACTATACACTATACACTACATCATCGTCGTTCTAGTGACTAGTGAAGTGTCAGAAATCACCACAGTCATGATCACAGTCACAGTCCGTGTGAGATAGCTCTGCCCAGGATTCCAAAGAGAAGTTGAAGTCCGCAGAGGCTCAGGCTGTGTTGGAAGCGCTTGGGCAGTCCATCGTACTTGACATTGCACCAATTGAGGCTAGACATGCTTCGAACAGAGAGATGAGCCTTTTGAGAGGCAGAGGATACTTCCCCACACTTTCAACTCTGGCTTCAAAGTTCATTGGGAACACTGCTGGAAGGCATCGACAGATAGTTCAGAAGGCTTCAGATCTCTTTTGCAATTCGAGTTCGAGTGCTTCAAATATGCACCCAGGCAATCAGACGAAGAAAAACACCACAAAAAAAAAGAGTCACGGTGGTGGAGGGGCATGGAGGGCATTTTGCTCAGAGAGGTGTAGTGGAAGAAGTTTTACTGCTGAGACTCTTGCAGAGCTTGGTGAACAATACCGTGAGCTTTCAGAACAAGAGTACCAACGATACAAAGCTATTGGAGAAGCAGCGACCCTGGCTCACAAGTCTGGCTTCCAATCTTTTCCATCTCCAACGAAGCCAGATACTGACGCCTTCAAGTCTGGCCTGCAAGCTTTAGCTGCAAGAAAAGATGCACCCCTTCCTGGCACAGAATTGGACTCTGGAGTCATAGTTGCCGCAGATTCAGACTGGGACTTGAAGGTTTCACTTATGTTCAGTGGGCCAGATTCGTTCTATGATAAATATCAGCAAATCAAACAGCTGGCTGAGGAGGAACGGCGCCAACGTGTGATGAATGTGGAGTTGGGCAAAAAACAAGTGGCTGAGCTTCAAGCACATGCGGGTTCAGCTGTGAATCATGACTTTGTACAAGACACGACCAAAAAGAACATGACAAAGACAGCAGGTGGATTTCTTCTTGCCAGCGGTCCTGCAAACTCTGTTGTGTCATTTGATTGGGTGGCGCCTGTCTCTTCTGCAGTCAAGGCAGGAAGTTCCAAGTGATCCAAAACCCAAGCATTTCTAAATTCAGCTTAAGGCCCTAGGTTTACCTAAGGACCTAAGGCTTAAGGCATTCTAAAAACCTAAGGACCTAAAGCCTAAAGTTGACAATGACTGAGACTAAGACTGTGACTAAGACTAAGTGACTAAGATCTATCTAGGAGATTGATATATAAGGCCAAGTTGAGAGCACTGTTGTAAGTGGCTGTATTGTATTGTCTTGCAATTTGTAATGAAATGCATCTGCATTGTATTGAATACTGGTTAGCTGCTAGCTGCTAGCTGCTGGCAGTCACTAGTCACTTAGTCATTAGTCACTAGTCACTAACTAGTCTTTAGTGTCATTTTGTTGTCATTTGCAAGTCAAACTTGCCACAGGCCATCATGTCCAATGCTCTTGCTGGTGTTCGTCGAGCTTTGAAGCTGGATTCCAATCTACGGGATGAATTGAACCAACGGTGCAAGCTCATGAAAGAGTGCAATGCCAAGACAGAGCAAATCCCACCACCAAAGCAAGGCTTTCAACCGAAGATATGCCATTCTCTGTGTGTTTGCTGCTGTGGCCAGAACAAGTATGCCTTATGGTGCCATGAGAACATCTCCAAATTGTTTCGTCATATTTTCTGGAAGAAGAAGAAGTTGAAGGAGTGCTCATTTCCTCGCAAGCTTTTGGATAGCGGCATGATTTTCTTGGAGATCCGTTCTTGGCCAAGGCTAAGCCTGAGCAGCAAACCTCACAATGTTTGCCATGCTGCTTCTGAGTGGGATCTTTGCTTTGAGGAAGAGAAGGCTGCATCGACAGAAGGAATTGAGTCGGAGGCTTTCAGGAACTTGGAATTTTGCTTCTACATTGGGCAAATCAATCTTCGCACTTGGCATTTTTCAGTTCTCCAAATGGAGAAGGTGAACCAGAATGGCATTGAGACTGAGAATGCTTGCTGCCACTTGCGTCCACTCATCAATGATGATCCTCGCAAGGGTTCCTCGGCCAACAGTCAAAAGTGTTTGTGTGGCATGGCATAATCATCATTGTCAGATTTCATCAAGGACTTGTTGGATACGATTTGTTTAATGATTAATGAAATATAAATTGTACATTGTACATTGTACAAATGTATCAATGTATGGGTCACTTTGCGTACCAATATATATTGTGTTATTATATATACCATTTTGTGCTTTTAAACAGTCACACGTCACTACACCAGCATAAGACCCCAAAATAAATAGCGGATGTATAATATAGAGTACAGATAGTGAAAACAAAAACAAACCAGGTCATCCCTGGCATGACATCATATCACCCCATATCATACCTGGCATCAAATGATGTCATCCCTGACATGACATGATATAATTCCTGGCATCACATCATTACATTTGAGATGTAAGAACCCCTATATTGCCCTATAGGCACTAGATATAAGATAAGGAATCTATTAATATATTTATAGCTTCCAGCTACCTGGATAATAACAGCAGCAGCAACAACTTTGACTTGAGTTGATTCTCGGCCTTGGCCTTGGCATTCAGGCTTGTTCACTGACATGGAGGTATTCACGCAGCTATTGAACCTGGAGAGAAGTTGGTCCTTCAGATTGCGGGGGTTTTCTTCTGAAGATTGGCCAACATTCATGGGTGAAACTCAGTCCATCATTCCTTCAACTCTGTTGGCTGGCGAGTCTGTCTTCTGGCAAGGTTTTGACAAAGAACGGTTGAGAAGGGAGGGCAAAAGAAAGGGTGGCTCAGGTGGTGGCGGTGGTGGTGGAAGGAAGCGCAACACTGCCAAGAGACCCCGTGTGAGAAAAAATGATCCTGTCACTGACCGTTCCAAAGTAGAGTCAGAGCAGGAGAACGAGCTGGAGATTGACACAGAGATGGAGGCAGAAGTTCTTGAACATGAAGAGAACGATGAGAATCCTTATGGCGATGGTGGGGATTCCAGTGGTGAGGAGCAGCAGGATGACAATGATGATGGCTTTGATGGCTTTGACTCTGGTGGTGGCAATCAGCTGCAAGAACAGAGTGCTGACAATAATGACCGTGACCAAACAGAGGCACCAGCAGTGGCAGCATACTTGAAGGAGGCAGATGAAGCCAGTGCAAGTGATGATTCTTTCTTGGATTTAGACTCTGAGAAGAAAAACAATGACTCAGAACAGCCTCAGCCTCACAGGCCTGACGAGCCTGACAGTGAGAAAGATGGCCCTGTCAAAGCAGTGGCAGCGGCAGCAGCGGAAACAGATCAGCCACGACAAGAAGCTCGAAGCTCTGGGCACAGAGGTGGACTTGAATCAAGATATGTCTTTAGCCTTCCCAACGAAATGGGATCACTGAGATACTACCATGCCACAGGAGCCATGGTAGCCTTTTGTCCATTTGGAAGATGCTCTCACACGTCAGACTGCAGAAAGCAATCCACATGCTTGCCTTCAGGCAAGCGCAGTGGCAGACCAATAGGTCTTCTTGTTGCCTGGCTGGAGCTGGCCAATGAGCGCAGCGCGAAGACAACTCACGTGCATTCCTGCAGACCTACCTTTGAACAACGCAAGAGAGCTAGAGAATGGTTCATGTCTCTGCCTGATGCTGCAAATTTTGCTGATTTCGAGATGGCGCAAGTGGGACCAGAAGCAGAGCCGAGACAGGTCTGAAGTCTGAACAGCAGGACGGCCACAATTCTGATGGCTGTTGAAAAAAAATCCTGACTTTGTGTGTGCATTGAGAATCCATGCCATGCAGTGCTGGCTCTTGCTTGCACATCATAGACATAGATAGACTCATATCAATATAATATAGACATAGACTCAACACATATTAAATATAAGTATTAGTAATTAGTATAAATAGTAAAACTATGCAAGGCATAGGCCATAGGCATTGGCATAGGGCAATACGAACAATGTCAGTCTTCTCTTCTCACTGTCTGAGTCAATGAGTCGTGATACCGATACCGGTCGAGTCGAGTCGATTCGAAGGAATGAGCAAACCAACTCGTTTTGGCGGCTTTTGCAGCTTTTGTGTTACACTTCAAGTCGTTTGCATCAATGCAGGTGCTTCATCATTTTCTTCCGCAAAGACATCTTTACAATGGCCGATGTGAAAGGCTTCAAAGCAACGTTCAAGGCCTTCTGTTACTTTTGACACAGTCAAAGAAGAGACCGTTCAACAGGAAACTGTAATTGTAACAGTAGTAGTTTTCTAATTCTAGTTCTAGATTCGATTTTTTTCTTGATCATATTTTGCATTCCAGAGGAGCTCACACTGTGACACATGTGCAAGTTCAGAGTTCCAAGAGTTGAGCGTCAGGTCCTGGTACTGGTAGCTACCCTGGTACCCCCTGGCAACCTTGCTGCCAGTAGCAGCTCTTACTAGTTACTAGACTCTGTTAGACTCTTACTAGTTACTAGACTCTGCAAGATGCAGAAACTTTCCTGGGCCCAATCACTCTATGGCTCTAGACTCTATGGCTCTATTAAATTAATAGCTAGCAGCTAGCTGCTAGCTAGGTCCAGGAATCCTACCGATACCTCATACCTGTATTCAAGGACTAAATGAGTAGCAAGAGAGGATAGCAGAGTGAGGAGAATGAGGGTTAGTAACTAAGACTATAAATGAGGAGGATCATTTTGTCCAACAGAGGACTAGTGACTAGTGACTATATACTGCAGCTGTAGTCACTGTAGTAGTAGTAGTGCCAGTAGTAGCATAGCATACAACCTTGAGGCTTAGGATTAGGCCTTAGGTTTAGGCTTATGCTTAAGTAGCAGCTACTTAGCAGCAGCGGCATAGTGGCTAGCGGCTAGTGGCTAGGATGGCTAGGACCTAGGACTACCGACTAATGAATAGTACTGGCAGCTAGTTCTGTCTAAGATTGAGTCTGAGTCTAAGTAGGATGAAGTAAATTCCATTAAACAAAAACATTAAACTCATTAAACCTATTGTTCACTGAATATCAATATGTTTACTATCAATGAGTAGCTAGCAGCTAGCAGCTAGCAGCAATGATTACTGTAGTAACTGATTAGTAATTAGTAGTGATTGAACTATACTATACATAGTCATCAATAAGCGGTGACCAACTAATGATTAGTGTTATTTTGCTAATTTGTAAATGTTCAATGTGGAATATGAATATTGATTTAACTCAACTCAACTTTTGATTATCGTTCATAGCTTTGGGTTTTCTATCTCTATGATAAATGCATCATCAAGCAAAGGACCTTAACAATAACATATGATAAGTTACAATAAAGTTCTTTTTTATATTTTAATATATACTATACACTAATTAATGTTGAATAATCTTTCAGGCTTGGCTAGACTCATCTAGTCACTAGTCTAGATTCTAGATTCATTATTCTATCTATATATATGTGTATTTTAATTTTAATGTTGTTATTGTAAAGTTGTAAAGTTAGTTTGTATTGTCAATCAATCATGCTTTAGCCACTGCTAATAAACATACAAGTACACCATAAAGCAACAAAATGTGAATTCAATTCAAACCATTATCAAAAATGTATGTAAATATAATTGAAAATAAATGCAAATTTATTAAGACACCTAAATAGAATGTAAAATTAGATGAAAAAATGATAATTATGTAAGACTATACAAATAGGCAAAAATGAAAAAACTCAATGTTTTTTTTCATTTTTTTACATTTGTATACTTTTTATACAAAAACCTAGGATTTTACAGCAAAATGAAAAAATGAAAAAAATGAAAAAAATGAAAATTATAGAATTAGTGAAAAATGCAAAAAACCCAAGGAAATTTTTATTTTTTCATTTTTGAGGTACACTGACTAGGTTTCGGATATGCATAATCAAAATACACAATAGCCGCTAGCCACCTTTTCTAAAGCCTATTTTTTTGTTTTTCAACAATAAAGTATTTTCAATTTGCTGGAGAATGCATCCTTTGGTCCTTTGCTGCACTCTTTTCTGAGGATCTCAAGGAAAAGATTGTTCAGCTCTTCGTTCCCAAGAGCTTTGATGACCTGATTCTGCCAGAGAACAGCTCCAAACTTCAAGAGATTCAAGCACCTGTTCAGCAGCGGATGCGTGCTCGTGGACAGGTTCAGGCCAATTTGGCGGTTTGTTGACATGAGTGAATCACTACAGTACATAACTAATCAAATCACTAATCACTAATCACCAGTCATCATAATCTCTAATCAAAAGAAATCTGTGAGTCCTTCCATTTGTTGAAGCAAGCTAGTTTTTGAATTGAATCAAACTGTCACTAGTCACTAGTCACATAATCTATCTATATATCTATCTATCTATCTATATATCTATCCATCTATCTATCTATCTATCTATCTATGAAACTATGTGTGAGGCACTACAGAGTAAGTACAGTAGAATCAGAACCTAGTCAACTGCTAGAGTGACCTAGGACCTAGACTTGACTCAGACTCCCTAGAAACATCTCACAGCCGCAACAGGATCCTGGTGCACATCGTGATCCAAAGAAGTGGAGAGTACAGATTGCGGACTGGCGAGATTCTCTGGGGTGCAAGGGCTGCTTGGCAGACATTCGGCCCTGGAGCAATTTGCAAGGCTTGAAATTCAAGGGTGTGAGTTGCACACCAAGAGTACTTAGTATGCTAGACTGTTGTGTCTTGCACACTCTGGGGGGAGCGGCAACAACCAAGCAAATCTTAGATTCCCCCAATGGAGGTAAACAGTTGCAGGCTTTGATGGCAGATGTACTGATAGACTTATCACAGAATCCATGCCGCAAAGCTTTTTCCAACCATGGAAATGCAAAGTGTTTAACAACCAGCACGACCCTGTACAGTTTTGCAAGGGATCGCATCATTACAGGATTTGAGAAGATGCTGTTGCAGGGACATTCACAGGGACTCAGAGTTCCTGCATCAATGGCAGACCGAGAGCTTGGTGAACTTGCAGGACAAGGCATATCTTTGCCTTCTCTCGGTCTTGTAGTGGTGTCTTTACTTTGTTCAACGGGCCTTGGACGTTAAATCACTGTGGAGTTGTGGTAGCCGGGTAGCAGACAGCAAAGAAGCAGCTAGCTAGCTAGCAGTAGCAGTAGCAGCTGTAGCAAGCAACATGTGACTAGTGACTACTGAGCAATTCATGTCACATTTCATTTCATTAGAATCTAAATATTGAATACTACTGAGTACTGCATCTCATGTTTACTATGATGACATTTGATGGATGAAGTGATCATATAGATACATTATCATTATATAGATAGACATATGATTTATGCTACTGAGTTACTGCTACTGATACTGCTTAGCCGCCACAACCATGCTGGACCTTGCCACAACCATGAGCCACAAGATTGAATGCTGTGGACTGTGGACACTCTTGCCTGGCCTTGCATTGGGCACCGGCATTTTCAATTTGACGCAATGTATAGTAATGACGTGTCAGTGTAGAGTCCAAAAGGAGTTCATTGTGTTGTGCATTCAAGACTCAAGACTTCAAGACTCTTGCATTTGCTACAAATAGGATGCCGTTGGTACAGTCTTGTGGGCTGTCACTGAGCAAAGCACTAACTAACTGCAAAAAGACATTCATTTTCTCAGCTCTATGTTTCCAGGATGCACAGTTGTTGGAGGAATCAGATTTAAACGTATGTATGAGCCGAGACAGTGCTTGTCACTTGGTGCTACAGATTGCCTCTGGTTACTCAGGTTCAAACGAACTACTACTGACTGGGTAGGTAGGCCCGTTCATTCTCACTTCCTGTCAATCCATTTGTCGCGGGGACCGATGGGTGGGGCTGGAAAAGGGAGAGGAGCAGCGAAGTCAAACAAGGACCCTTTGGTTTGGTGATTTTTAAGGCCCAAAAGGGGGTGCCTATGTATGCAGTGAAATTGTTCTGAGTGTGACATGCTTAGGCTTACTCCTTAGTGACATAGTTGTTGCTAGGGCCTAGGGCTTAGGCCCAGGCTTAGGTAGTAATAGTAACTTCATGTGTAAAGTTTAGAACATTCATTCAACTGTTCACTGTTCCTGTTCTCAGTGCCATGCCATAGCTAGCAGCTAGCAGCTAGCAGCAGCTAGCAGCCATTTTGCATTTTGCTTGCACTGTACATGCTTCCCCCAGGACCAAGGGCAGCTGGTTTTGCCTAAGAAGAGGCAATCAGAGACTGCCTTGGTTCCTGTGGAATCAGCTCCATCATCAGCATCAGCAGCCAAGAGGGTACGCAAGACTTGTGTCTTTTGTGGATCATCGAGCGCCAAGGACATTAATGTACATCATTCAACAACAATCAAAACTGTTCAAAATATGTTTGTTTTCTCTGCAATACATCAACAGTTTCCAGTCAATATCAATATTCAATATTCAATATCTAAGCTGATGTGCTTTTGACTCATTCATTCCTGGACTGTCAGTTTATGTGCAACACACCCTCCCCATAGGAGGAATGGGCAGAATACGACAAGGCAGGAACTCCTTTTTGGAGCACCTGCTACAACTGTGCTGATGTGGTTGGTAGAGTCAGGCCGAGCTTCAGTAGATCTGAGGCCGAGGTTGAGTACCAGAAACCATCAGATGGAAGTCAGTCTTTCCACAAAGACTTTGATGAGGCAAAGGAGACATTCGACAACATGGAGACTACTATGCAATTTACTCCATCCAGTGAAATTCATCGGGACAAGACTTATGGATTCGAAGTCTTTCAGGAGTTTGGTATCCTTGACGCAGCCGAATTTCAACGTGTCACCGGAATCACACCAAAAGCTGCTGGGAAAAAGCCATGCCCAGTACCTATTGCAGGCCCTGGTGTCAAGAGCAAGGACATGTACTTGGTTGGACTGGTGGGTTTGGACGCTGCCCAAATCCTGGCCATGCGAAGGGTAAGGATATCCTTCTCTGAGACAACCACACACTGTCAGTGTTACCTGCATGCTCAGGAGCAGCTGTTGAAAAACCAGGGTCAATATGTCTTCAGCTTTGTGAATGACAAGGTTCAGAAGGAAGCGCCCACTGACTTGGTCACAGCGGTGAAGACGGTGGAAGACTATATGGAGAAAACGAAGGCTGATCAGCTTCTTTGGCTGGATTCATTGACTGAAAAACTCCAGATTCCAGGCTATATGATTATTATATTATATTGTTATAAAGATAGTTAGTTGGATCTTTGACCTCAATCACTATCAACCAGTCACTAGTCACTAATAACTGTAACTGTAACTGCTCAGTGACTAGTGACTAGTGACTCAGAAACAATGTCAGTCCACATGTTTCCGCAGCTGTTTTGGCAAGAAACATACCCGACATACCCACCAAACTCAGCTAGCTGCTGCTACTTACTGTTGAGATCAAGGGTTTGCCAGCATGAAGCGCTCCTATTCGGAAGCATCATTGGATGGAGGTCACATGAGTCAAGTGGAGTCTGTGGAGGTGGAGGTGAACTGTGGTGATGAATTGTCTGACGAGGCCTATTCATGGCCATTGATGGTCATGGATTATTTGGTTTTCATGTGTGTTACTGAACTGTTACTGTTACTGAGTTAATGTCTTAAGAGTAAGTGTTAATCTACTGAGACTGTGACTGTAAGGCCATGCAAATGGCTGTTCAACAAGGATGTACACTGTACAGTGTACACAGTACACTGCAACTGGTAACTGAGCGGTAACTGGTAGTAACAGCATGGCTAGCCACTAGCCTCAGCTAGCTGCCAGACTCTAAGATTCTAAGAAACATTCTTACAACCTGAGTTGGGTGACAGGCCATTGCCATCTCTTCAGATGAATCGACGATGGTTGAGGCTGACTCTGAGGGCATGCACGACCAGACCATGACCAGTACCACAGACTCTGTGAACCATAGCCCTGACACTAGCCCAGCTTCATTGACAAGTGCTATGGCTGCGGCTATGGCGGCTGTGCCAGTAGTGGATTTGGAGCAATCGGAAACTAGACTCAACTTAGACTCTGACTTAGTGACTTAGTCAAATATTTTTTCTATTCGGGTCTAGTCTATTCTACTTAATATGTTATGTTTGACACATTTAAGTTTAATTGTGGCATTGGAGAATAGGGGGAGTATCTATTGAATCTATTGTGTTTGGTGAAATGACATCATCAGAATCTCAGGATTTGGATGAGTGTGATGATGCCAAGCTTGCAGCTTCGAATGAATCCAAAACACATGGTGGTGATGATGTCAATGCCAATGACAGTCGCAGGCGATACAGGGGGCGTTCTTTTCCGCGAGGGTTGTGTTCATATGATGATGAGCCTTCCTATGACCCTGACCTTGACTATGAGTGGCCAGATCCGGGCACCTATGTTGAGCCTCGAACTCCATGGTCACCACCCTCACGATCAGTGATACCATCGAGGTCACCATCACCAATACGCCCACCAGTGCGCCGGCCAGGGACGCCAGAAGGCCCGCCGCCACCCTCACCAGGAACACCTCCAGGCTCACCGCCATCTTCCCCACCTCCACGTTGGCTTTTGGCTTCAGAAGGAACTCCAGATCCAGAGCCACCAAGCCCTAACTACCTACCTCCGGCGCCAGCAAGAGGGCCCAGGACTCCCCCAGCCATCACTGGCTATTGGCATCATTGGAGACCCACCAGTCCAAGTCCAAATCCAGATTCAAGGATCCGTGACTGGAGTGATTGGACACCCCACACACCAAGTCCAGACATGGCTTGAGCCTTGAGGCTAGCAGACTCTTAGAAAAGCAGCTGGTGTGAAGTGTATGTCAGTGAGCAGCTGAGTTTTGATTCAGGGGCTCAACATTTCATATGCACCACCAGCCACCAGTCATCACAAAGTGACAGGTGCTTGTTTTGTTGCATTTTTTCCAGCAAGTCCTAATGGGACAAGGCTAGCGCAGTTGCAGTTGATCAGCTCGCTTGAAGTGCTATGCTGCTATGTTCAATTGCTGAATCGGTCATTCTGCTCCAGACCCTCTTGAGAGGTGTTTGTTGAGCTGTGGACCTCTCTAGTGTCCAATTTCCAGGTGACATCTGGATCCTAATTGAACGTTCAAAGAACTTCCGTTATAATGATTATAATGCTGTCGTGCCATAGTGACATGGCTGAGATAGGCTGAAGAGAAAAAGACATCCATGTTGTTTTTGGCCAAAAGGCCCAAAGGGTCAGAAACAGTTCAGTCTAGTCCAGAGTCCAGAGTGGACTTGACTAGTGACTAGGGGCGGCTAGGGCTATGGCTAGGCTAGGCTAGGGCAAAACCACTCTAACTCTAGGCTCTAGACTCTAGAAGACAAAAGACTAATTTAGAGGCCTAGAGGGCCTAGAGTCTAGAGGCAGCTATGGCGGCTAGCATTAGGGCACTAGGGCCTAGGGAGTGACTCAAACATATTGACTTAGACTCAGACTTGGACTAAGACTCCTAGGTCCTAGGTACTATATAGGCGAGACTCCTAGGTCCTAGGTCCTAGACTCAGACTGCACAGTAAACAGTATAAGTCTTAATAAGTATAAGTATATTATTTGCAATCCCAACATTCATCCACTCACAGGGAGGCCAGTAATCAGTATACTGCCATAATCGGAATATCGATGAATTCGCAATAGAATTGTATTGCAATATGTTTGAAGCTACTCAATTGTAAGACTCTAAGACTCTAAGAATTCAAGATTCTCAGCACTGCACAACTCAGGCTTGCTAATGAGCAGAGCCTTCAACAAGTCGCTGATGCGAGCATGGAGGAACCTGAACACAAAGGTGAGTGGTCTGACTCTGATGATGGGGCAGATGGTGGCAAGGGCAAGGGTGGCAAAGGCAAAAAGCGACGGCAAGGACCTGGCTTTGATGATGGTGATGAAGAGGCAGCCACAGCCAAAAAACAACCCAAAGCCCGTGCTCGCAAGGGTGCTGCTGATCCTTATGCCAATGCTTCTTCTGCAGAGCATCAGCATGTGCCAGATGACTCTTCAGGGGCTGCTGCTACTGCTACCATTACCAGTTCATTAGAAGATGCCAAGTCTCTGAGGTCTGGAAAATCAGCATCAGCAGCAGGATCTGAGCTTGATACAGAGATGCAGGTTGTTGCAAAACACCATTTGCAGGGTGATGGGCATTCAGTGAAGGCTCTCGAGAATCTAGACCTCAAGTTTTCCTGAAGATCACGCCCAACCGCTACGCTCACAGTGCAAAGCTGAAAGGAGTTCCTGGGCAAAGTCAGTTACAATTACAATTGTTGTGTTTGTTGAGTCATATGTCATATGTTTTTGTTGCACAGGGTGCATGAAAAAAAAGACCAAGACCAATAGTAATTGGTGGCCATTGGTGACCAGTGTGGTCTACACTTCACTAGACTACTATACCTATACTATACATAGTATACAAGATTTCAGTGACCTTATCAGGACCTAGGACCTATCAATTTTATTGAATAGTATAATATAATAATTCTTTTTTCCAAGACCCAATGTGAATCTAAGGCTAGATGGATCAAAGATTCTCTCAAGAAGGCGAAGCACACAAATGCAGCCCAAATGCTGCAAGAGCGCATTGCACAGGTTGAGTCAGCAGACATTCTGGTCACCAAGGATTTGACCAGTATGACAGCTGAACATGTCGCCAATTGTGTGAAGGCCATTAGGCCTGGATGGCGTAACCTTCACATGTCGACCAAGCTCAAGCTGTGCCTTCATGCAGCCAATCAGAAGCTTTCTGAATCCAAGGTCGCTGAAGCTTTTGATGTTCTCTCAGACGCCTTCAAGTTTGAGGGGGTAAACTTTGGAGATCGCAACAGCTTTGATCCCTTGAATCCACAGTTCCATGTCTGGGTGGAGGAGCTGATGTGTCAATCCTATGACATCATGGAGGGAAACAATTTGCTTCCAGAGGTAGGTGAAGCGGAACTTTCGGTTGGCTTTGAGGAACTCACAGAGAAGCTTGAGGCAATCAGCCAGCCGCTCTCTTCCCAGAACCCGGAGCTAAAGACCCTGAAGGATATGGCTGAAGACCCTCAGCTTATTGACTTATGACTTATGACTTATGACCTATTATACATATTACTGGCTGCCTGGTTACTGCCTGTGTACTAATAGGTCCAGGCTTTGTATTTCTTTCTAACCGGTCGAATATCAAACCAAATGGACCAAATGAATCTATCTATGGCAATCTATGAATCTATGACATGACATTCATGTCATGTCGCTGTCACTATGTCACTATGTCAGTCAGTTAGTCATGATGACAGGGCGTTCATTGAATGTGTTGTTGATAGAGTGGTGAATTGTGATTCCACACCTGGTGGTGGTTAGAGTCTTGTTTGAAAATGGCGGTTCTTTGTTTGCCAATGAGGAAGCATCAGCATCATTGATGGAATTGATCATCCATGAGAAGTGCTGGGTGTTTCTGCAAACAGGTCTGACTGCGAAGAGCGCCATTGTTTCCTTTTCTCAAGATGTCCTTGGCTGGTGTGTGAAGCTTCGCCGTGTGGCAGAGTCTTGCGACGAGTTTGCTGCGGTATGGAGCAGTGACATTCTTGAGTCCTTTCGCTCTTTCCACTCACGCTTGGAATCTTTGGCACGATGTCTCCTCCACCTTTTCTGCACTTCTCCACGCAATGATTATGACAGGCCAGCCACCAAGGATGCTGATGTCTTGTACTTTGTCAACTATGCAGGACTTGATCTCATGGAAAAGCAGCTCAAACGCTTGCTTGGAGATGGTGACACTTGGTGGGGCATTGAGACAAAGGAATTGATTCAGAAAGGAGCTGGATCTTTGTTGCACGAAGACAAAGTCGCTGACCTTCAGTCAATGCTGACCGGAGACCCTGTGCTGTCAGTCTCAAACTTGAAACAAGCTCGGGAGACACTGCAAATGATCAGGGGGACAACACGTTCACAAAGAATGTCAACGGTTCTGGACGGGTTTTCAGTATCTAGGCTCTGATTTCACAGACTTTCAAGTTGAAGTTTTATTGGTTGAACTCATCATCACTAGCAGTCACTAGCAGCCATTAGTCACTAGTCACTAGTCACTAGCAGCTTAGCAGCACTTAGTACTTGTTCACTGCCTCTGGAACTGTGACTTATGAGCTGATATCAAAAGACCTCACTAGTGACTAGTCGACTCTAGACTAGACTAGACTAGACTATATACTCTATAAGACTCTATAAAAAAATATATAATATATATATTATACTATATTCTCATATATTTACTATGTAATAGCACTACACTACACTACACAATACACATAAGACTTATATAGTAATAAATAAGACATATTACCCCATATGATATGTATATTGTATATGTAGATGTATATGTGTGGAGTACCATTAAGTGTGTTCACCCTTTGCCAGCACCGTTACCGGAATGCACCCTCACTAAGGCATTTGCTTTGAAGATGGCCAAGGCTGCAATGACTGGAGAGTTGGTGTTCATGGACTCAGACACCAACCAGGAGATTCTGACCGCTTTGAACACTGTGCAGAGCTATCCTGACGTCCAGGAGAAGATTAAAGAGTTTCAGACTTGGATCACCAAGAACTCAAAGTCTTTGGCGTCAAATGACTTGCTGAAGCTCATGAGTATCAGAGAGGGTCAGCCCGTTGATGTCTCAAGAACAAGACAGCTTTGGACGCGGCTGGAGCATGGAGTGAGGAAATGACCAGCAAGCTCGATGGTTTCCTGCATGTGAACATTTCCAATCTTTTGCTGCAGGCTGGATTTCATGTCGAGTCTATGTCTATGTGTCATATGTCATATGTAATGTAATGTATATAGTATATTTATATGTATGGCAAGTCTGACAAGCAATGTTAACAGACTATTGAGTCATGGTTTTCTTTGCCAGCCTCAGACTTGAATATGGTATTGTTACTTTTTATTATGTGTAATTTCATCATCAAGAACCCATGAACCTCTCCAACTGCCTCAATAACCAAATATCAGGTATCATAATTAATATAGTAATTAATAATTTAATAATTTCAATCATCATGCACTGTCAGTGTAGGCTCTTTAGCTTTAGCTTTGAAGCCTCTGCAAGGCATCTGAGATGAATACATCAGGTGACAAGTTGAAGAAGCATATTAGCTTGATCAAAGAGCTCACCAACAAACGTCCAGAAGGAGCAGATGACTCAGCGAAGACTACCACATCCAAGGTCCGCAAATTGATAGCTCTTTGGACTGAAGCTGCTGCTGCCGCCGCGACATTGATAGGAGGCAATCATCAGGTGAAGCAGCTGGGATTGAAGAAGGCAAAATCTCAGTCTGATTCTGATCGAAAGGAATGCAGTTCGCAGAACATCCTGAACACTTTGAAGGCAGTGGTGAGCACCCGTCAGAGGCTCACACAAGCTCAAAAGAACATTGATGCTGTTTGTGAGGACTTGAAGAACAGCCCCGATGCTGTGAACTTCAGCCAAGACCTTGGCGCGTTGCTTGACCTTGACTTCCCAAGCGCATTCTTATCTGAGCTCCAGCTTGAGGCTTTCGATGACTTGGTCTCTGACATTGCATCTTCTCATCTACGCAATTTGGATGAACAAGCCATTCTTTTCCAGAAGACTTGCAGTGAGTACTATTGCTCAAAGGGAGGTCAAGCCGAGGATGACTATCTGCATAGCTTGTCGAAGGATGGTGACAACTACTGGGCAGCTTCTTTCACAACCGACTCAACCTTGGATGAAGTCTATGGCAGTGGACAGGAGACCATCCTTGCTTGGCTTCCTGGAAGGGCGATGAAAGCTTTTGTCGGTGCCGTGGAGAAGGCATGCACAGTGATCTGGTAATGTCACCAGTCCATGATGCTCTTTTGGCATAGTTATTTTTTCAAATCATATTGAAATATTCATGGTATTTGCATGCAGCTATGTCAGCTATGTACTGTTACTGTTACCATTACTAGCTACTAGTTACTGTACAGTATAGCAGTAGCATAACAGTATAACACTATTTTATACTATATATATAATCATAAGTAGTATAACAACATCATAACACTATGACGGGAATGACCTGTCATCGTCAAAGATGGAGTCTGCAAATGCCTGCTATTCCAAAAACATGAATGGCAACTCTGCATTTAATATCCCATGTAGGATGAAGAGCCTGTCCAAACATTCTTGGCTGCCTTCATGAACCAGATTGTCTCAGATGGAACGGTGGGTGTGATGGCTGATCTCCAGAGCAAGCTGCAAACACTGAGGAGTGATGGTCTAGTTTGCAAAATCCACATAACTGAGGTGTTCATCTTCAAGGCATTGCGCCAGATTCAGGTTGGCAAGGCAGCTAACAACGACGCCGATGTTTCCGATGGCAAGGGCGTCATCAGCAAGCAATTGGCCACTATCGCCTCAGGCACTCTTGGGATCAGTAAGCAGCATGTTTCGAGTTGGCTACACTCGCAAGCAGCGAAGGCTCTAGAAGAGGGCCAGTGAGTACAACCATACCCGGTTGCCATGCTTTTGGAATGGCATTTGCACAGCTGCCATTCCATGCTTTTGGAATATGGCATCTGCAGACTCCATCTTTCCCGATGACATGTCTATAGATTCTGACTACCACTACTACTACTCTACTACCTATAAATGCTATACTTACTTCTACTTATGATTATCGTGTTATGCTATATTAACTATACTAACTATACTAGTAACTAGTAACTATACTATACTATACTAGTAACTAGTAGCTAGTACTTTTTAGACAAGCAAGTACTTTTAGAAGCACAGGAAACTGACCTGGGGGAAGATGGCAGGGAGAATATCCCAGCACATAGCTATGCTAAGAAACCTTCAAAGGACTTTCCGAGCACGTCGCGAGGAAAAACAAGAAGTTGTGTGCTTGGGAAGCATGAGCATCAGATGCAAGCAAGAGTTTTTAAAGGCACGAGATAGGAATGGAGAGATTGGGTTCCAGCGGTAGGCACAAAATGAAAATAAAATGAAAACCAAATCCATGATGTAAATAATGATGCAAAAATAATGATAAAAAAAGGATAAACAAAATGATGATGAAATGAAAAAAAATAAAACAACATATTCCAGTCTGAGGCTGGCAAAGAAAATCATAACCATATTTGTCTTTGTCCTTTTCTCCACCATCTGATTGTTTTCCTTTTCTTCAATGATGACCTGGGCACCATGCCCACACGGCGTCCGTACTCGTGGAAAAAATTCAACCAGCAGAGCTGAAGAGTGGTTGGGGATACCGCACAAGTAAGGGAGGAGCAGAAGACAATCCTTTCTTGGCTGGTGCCTGTTGGAAGGAGATGACCTATGACAACGAGCCACAAATGCCTGACACGCCGTGGACGGAGAGGGTCTGTGCGATCCGTCGTTGGGTCAGTCCATGTCATTCCCATCCTTTCCTCAAGTCCCTCTCTGGACTGATCTTAGTGGGGCCAGATTTCCCCCGCAGGACGCCCACCCAGAAGCTTGGCAGGGCTATATGCCCATAAGACCATGCAAGCTGGCTGGACAGCCTAACAAGTGAGGCTTTGAAAAGAAAACAAGCGCACAGGAAAGTGGGCTGGACAGCCTTTCTTTTTGCAAGTACCCTTTCTGCAGTGGGCTGGACAGCCCTGTTTGGAATGGTTTTTGGCCGTGGGCTGGACAGCCCACCTTTGTGCAAGCATGCAGTTCTTTTTTTGATGAGCAATGCTTTTCCAGTGGGACAGCCCTCTTCAAAGCAGGTGGCTGGGCTGGGTAGCCCTTTTTTCAGCAGTTATTTGCAATGGGCTGGACAGCCCTTTTTGGTGGCATTGGGCTGGACAGCCCTTCCTTGTTTGGTTTGGCTGGACAGCCATAGCAAGTATATGTTGAGTTGCAACTTTGTAGGGCCCAAGCAAGTTCTGCCTCAAGCAGCCATGGATGCCAAAGGGAAAGGAGCAGCTGCTCCCAAAGGGGCAGCAAAAAGGGAAGGCGCCAGATGGCCATGGGAAAGGTCCTGCAACTTGTGACCAGAGAGGGGTGGAGGGCCTCTGTGTTCAGAGACAACTTGAGGTGCATGTGGCAGGGCTA